TGGACTTCGAGGCCACAAAAAATGGATTCCCATTTCCCTCCTTTATTTTTTTTTTTTTTTTTTTTTTTTTTGAGAGAGGAGTCTCGCTTTATGTCCAGGCTAGATGAGTGCCCGTGGCGTCAGCCTAGCTCACAGCAACCTCAAACTCCTGGGCTCAAGCAATCCTTCTGCCTCAGCCTCCGAGTAGCTGGACTACAGGCATTGAGCCACCCATGCCCGGCTAATTTTTTATATATATATATATCAGTTGGCCAATTAGTTTCTTTTATTATTTGTAGTAGAGACGGGGTCTCGCTCATTGCTCAGGCTGGTTTTTGAACTCCTAACTTGGAGCAATCCGCCCGCCTCGGCCCCTCCCAAGAGCTAGGGCTAGGATTACAGGCGTGAGCCACCGCGCCTGGCCTTCTTTCATTTTTTGATGTGAGTTATCTAGGGCCCTCCTGTAGCTGCCACACCCTGGCCATTCTGACCTTGCAGCCCCTGTTAAGAGCCGTGTCCCCGTAAGGGCACCTGGCGTGTGTGTGTTTGGAGCAGCCGCTCTAACAAGGACACAGCTGATGCTAGTGGGCATGTCTGTGTGCCAGACGTGATGGTGAGCCTCTGCCCACGTCGCAGCCCTCATACCACTTTTCCCATGTGACGTGTGAGGAAACCGAGGCTCGTTGCTAAATGCAGAGTTGGTTTGCACCTGCTCCTCGCACCGACCGCCCTGATTGGGAGTCAGTGCTTCCAAAAGCTGTGCCAGCCCAGCCTGGCCCGGTCAGCCTCTGGTGGCTAGTGCCTCCGGAGGGCCAGTGCTCCATCACATGCTGGCTGCCGGCTGCCTTCGTGCTGCCTCCTGGGTCTGTCCCACGTCTGGACTTCACCCAGCAAGTCACGTTTAGACTTAGTTGCCACCAGGAGAAAAGAGATTCAGATTCTTCGTGGTGTGTCCTGGTCTGAAACCCCCGCTCCTGTGTGGAGATGCACCCTCTTCCCTCTCAGTTGCCCATTGCTCGTGCCTGGGATTTACCTGTGGGCCCTGTACGAGCCCAAGTCCCCTGGGAAGAGGTGTTAGGTCTCCCTGTCTCTCTCCTTCCCCAGCCCCTCATTGTGACAGGTGCATAAAAGTGTATTTTATTTCAGTATTTGCACTAAAGCATACCCTTCTGGTTTTTTGGGTTTTTTTCGTTCAGTATATTACGGAGGTACAAACATTTTGGTCACATGTAATGCTGTTTGCCCTGCCCCAGCCAGGGCTACAAGCCTGTCCCTTCTCCATACAGTGCATTCCGTTTTCATTAGTTGTGGATTTACCCCCCCGACTGGCACCGGTGAGTATTACTACCATGTGAGCATCTTAGTGCTGGTCAGCTTGCCAGTTTGATGGCGAGTACATGTGGGGCATGTTTTTCCATCCTTGTGATACCTCGCTTCGAAGGATGGGCGCAGTATCTACCCAGGATAATATAAGAGGTGCTAAATCACCGTTGGTTTTTGTAGTTGATACCCTTCTGTTTTTGTTTTTTAAAATATCCTCGTTAGTCTCTGGAACTTACAAGAAAGATGCTTCGAGACAAGCAGAACAAAAAAAATTCAGGCCAGCACCTCCCTGTCTTCCCAGCGTGGGTGTATGAGAGACCTGCACTGGTCGGGGACTTCCTGATTGGCTCAGGTTTAAGCACCGACACGGCTTTGCCTATAGGTATGTGATGCGTTTATTTCCAGCTCCCCGGGAATTCCAGGACACCTGTGCTTGTGTGGAGTTGTCCTGGCGGGAGCCCCTCAGCAAAGCATGAGCATGGCGGGCCCTCCCCAGGGCTGCCCTTTCCCAGGTCGTAACAGTCCTCCCGCCTGTCGCCGTCCCTCCCGGTCCCATCCCTGTGTAGCTGCAGGTGGCCCCTCACCAGGGTGCTCAGCAGGCTCTTCTCCCAGCCTCCTGCCAGAGCAGGGGTGGGCTGTGGCTGACGCCTCCTGAACCGTGCTTCTGGTGCCCGAGGGCGTCAGGCCCGTGGGGAGCTTGCCCTGAACAGCAATTTGTGATTCCTACAGATCCTGCCACAGCAGTGTTCTCGGAGGCCCCTTCCCAGCAGTGTGTCTTGTAGACAAAATGCAGATGAGACCACACGGTCCTTTCAGGACAGGTTGTTGGGATCTGGGATGGGTCCACTTGTACACTGTGAACTGCATGTCTTAATTCACAAGTACCTTTTTGGACTGAAAAAACGAGAGTTCGCAAATTAAGGAGAGAGAGTGCCTGCGGCACTTTGCCCCACCGCTAGTAGGCCAAAGTGAAGAGGAAGCGTGTGAGGCCTCATGCTGCGTAGCTACAGGAACGGCTTGTGCCGGGACTGGTCACAACTGCACCAGGACACTTCTTCCCAGCAGATGTGTGAGGGCAACAGAGGGATTTTGTAAACCGCAGGGGTGCATGCAGCACCTTCCTGGGCTGCCAGGCCCCAGTTTGGGGGTGGGGGTGGCCTGGCCAACATGGGTGTCCCAACTAGCCCAAGGCCCTTGTGGGGACAGTTTCTGCTGCCTCCCCCCATCCTGGGCCTGCCATCACCCAACCCCCGGCTCCTTCCTCTCAGCTCGTTTCCAGTCTAGGGCAGTGGGTGAGCTGTGAGAGCCAACGCCACCTGGATGTGCGGGTGTGGTGGGCCACCTCAGCAGATGGCCCACGGCCAGCCTCCAGGCTGCGTCAGGTCACGATAAGGAAACCACACTGCATCCTGCAGCGACTCTCGCTGTGTGTGATAGAAGTTGTCAGAGTTTCTTGACATGTAAGCGATAGCTTTTTAAAGAAAACCTCTTTTTGTCTCAGAGTAACCCATGCTTACCACGTTTGTAATTAAAAATGCTGAAAGTCTAACTAATGGTGGAAGTGCTTTTACCTTCTTTTTTGGAGGTAGGGTCTCACTCTGTCGCCCAGGGTAGAGTGCAGTGGTGTCATCCTAGCTCACAGCAACCTCAAACTCCTGGGTTTAAATGACACTCCTGCCTCAGCCTTCTGAGTAGCTAGGACTATTATTACACCTGGTTTATTTTTCTATGTTTATTAGAGACTGGACTTCACTCTTGCCCAGGCATGGGCTCAAGTGGTCCTCCCACCTCAGCCTTTCAGAGTGCTAGGATCACAGGCCTGGAAGTGCTTTTTGAACTCCTGACTTTATCTCCTTACCAGTTGCATTCATTGACATGTAGTGGACCACAGTGTGCAGTGAGAACCCTATACTCCAGAGCCATCATGTCTCCTGGGCCTGGACCAGTCCTGGCAGTTTTGGAATCTCAGACTCTGGTTCCCCAGTGAGATCACTTGAAGCCAAATGCAGCAATTTACTTTTGTGCCCACCGATATTTGAGGAAGTTACAAAGAAGGCAGTGAGTGAGAGTGTGATTGATGAGCAGATGAGATCCCTGGGGCCGCAGGGGTTGTGGGCGTGGAGGCTGTGCAGAGCCCAGCGCCGTCTGTCTGTCCCGCAGGCACGCTGCCCCTGGCCTCCCAGGAGGCGGCTATGGTGGAGGACCTGCTCTACGTGCTGGTGGGTGTAGATGGCAGGTACATCACCGCTCAGCCCCTGGCTGGGAGGCAGAGCCGGACCTTCCTCGTGGACCCCAACCTGGACCTGTCCATCAGGGAGCTAGTGAGCAGGATCCTGCCAGTGGCAGCCAGCTACTCCACTGTGACCAGGTGGGCACCAGCCCCTGGGAGCCCACACCAGCTGGTGGGGCTAGAGTGCATCCCGATGGCTGTAGAGACATTGGCACCCCCTTCTGAAGAAAGTCCCTTCCTTGGTTATTACTCAGCTTTGTTCCTGACACATCTTTGGGGGCCTGTGAGTCGTCATTCCAGTGTCTGACTCACCACTCAGTGGTGAAGGTTTCTCTCCAGGATGAGAGGCTCGCATGAGTCACTCGCTTCCTGTTTCAGGATGGAATGCAAAATATCTGCCGTTTTATCTATAAATGTAGCTCTTGCCTTTTTAAGGATGTTTGATGTATCTTTCCTCATAGGTTCATTGAAGAGAAGTCTTCCTTTGAGTACGGGCAGGTGAACCATGCCCTGGCGGCCGCCATGAGAACCCTGGTGAAGGAGTACCTGATCCTGGTCACCCAGCTGGAGCAGCTGCACAGGCAGGGCCTCCTGTCGCTGCAGAAGCTCTGGTTCTACATCCAGCCGGCCATGCGCACCGTGGACATCCTGGCCTCCCTCGGTACACACCGGCTGGCGGGAGAGCGCAGCAGTTGGTGGGCTCAGGACAGAGGGCGGGTGTGAGGGTGCGGCTGGAGCGGGCTACCAGCCCTTCCATTCTTACTTCTGGATACCAGATCGTGAAGCCAAAGCCCACGTGGCTTCATGTTTTCCTAATTTGGGGAGGAAAGCTTTGGAAGTTTTCATTGATAAGCTTTAATTAGCAAGCACAACTTTATAGTTTGAGCATATCCCCAAAAAAAGCACCTGTCCCAGTAAGAAAGCCGGAAACTGAGAGGCTCTGGTCTTGGCCTGAGCCGGGCCCGCATGGGGCCTCCTTCGTGGCAGTGAGCCCCCCTCTTCCCTGCAGCTGCTGCGGTGGACAAAAGTGAGTGCCTGGGGGGGTCGACGCTGAGCCTGCTGCACGACAGGAGCGTCAGCTGCACGGGGGACACCCAGGCGCAGGAGCTGTGCCTGCACCTGACCAAGGCGGCCAGCGCGCCCTACTTTGAGGTTCTGGAGAAGTGGATATACAGGGGCGTCATCCACGACCCTTACAGGTGGGACCCTAGTGCTGCTGGGATACTGAGGGCTGGGAGACGCTTGCCACCACGTGGCCGTGTGTGGGGGTGTCGGGGATGATGTGTCTGTGCTGCCTCTGAGCGGCTCGTCCTGTGTGTGAAGGATGCTGAAATCGCCTCAAGTTAGGCTCCTCCTTGGTGCGTGGACTGCCTGGCCTGGGAGGCCCGTGGCTTCTCCTCCAGGTTATTAAGGGCATAAAACAAAATGCGTTAGCTCACAGAGAATCCTGTTGTACTGACAGGTATTTGTCTAAACATTTTAAAAGATAAATCTGTGATGTAGAAGTACGTATTTCTTCACTAACGGACCAAGTAATGAAACTTGGAGTGACAGGCCGAACACGGGTACAGCGTCACCCTCGCTGGCGTCCTGTGAATGGCGGCAGGTCGTGTCTGGTGTCTGTTGGTGACGGGGTCCGAGTGTCATTGGTTGCCTGTTTAATGGAAGGAGATGCTAGATCCACTCAGAGGTGGATGAAAATAAAGACAAATTAATTTCCCGTCTGGCTCTGGCGACCCCTAAGGTCCCCAAATCCCAGGTTAGGTGCCCGGTGCAGAGTGAGGTTTGCAGACTGACGCTAACTCACAGCGGGGGAGGGACTAGCAAGTCAGGGCAGATGTCGGCCTCTGCTCCTGCTGACCTGCTCCCCGGTCCTCAGCGAGTTCATGGTCGAGGAGCACGAGCTGCGCAAGGAGAAGATCCAGGAGGACTACAACGACAAGTACTGGGACCAGCGCTACACCGTGGTGCAGCCGCAGATCCCATCCTTCCTGCAGAAGGTGGCCGGCAAGATCCTGAGCACAGGTGCGGGGGTGGGGCGCCCGTGGGCCTCTGCTGCCGGGCTGAGCTGGGCTGTGGAGGTCGCCTACACCTGAGCAAGCTGCTGGTCTCCAGGCAACTCCTGGACATGCTTGCCACCTTCACTTTGTCCCTGACCCCAGGAGGCCGTCTCATAGGTGGCTTCTCTTTTTACTTTTTAATTCCTAAAAATCTCATCACCACTGTGGGAAAAACCATGAAGGCCACAGGCCTGCCAGGCCGGCAGCAGTTTCAGTCGCCACCACACGGGTCAGGGCCTGGCCTCGTGCCGGAGAGGGATGCAGGGACCCTGCGGAAGGGGCTGGAAGGTGGTTATGGTCTGATTCTCATAGGCCTTTTGGAAATTGCTTCTGTGGTCTGGATCAGAAATTTGCCTGTAGGAAGAGCCGTGGTCCCTGTGTTTCTCTCCTGGGAAACTGTAGAGCTGAGTCTAGTCCACTCCCTGGTGTTTGGATGGAGACAGCCGAGGCTTCAGGCCTGAGATTTGCTGCGCACATGATAAAGTTTCTACTCTGCTTCCCTTTGTCTCTTCAGGAAAGTATCTCAATGTGGTCAGAGAGTGTGGTCACCACGTCACTTGCCCCGTGGCTAAAGAGATCATCTACACGCTGAAGGAGCGGGCGTACGTGGAGCAAATCGAGAAGGCGTTTGACCACGCCAGCAAGGTGCTGCTGGACTTCCTGATGGAGGAGGAGGAGCTGGTGGCCCACCTGAGGTGGTTCTCTGCACACTCCTTCCTGGGGGGACGGGGCCTGCAGGGTGTGGGGCTGAGATTAGGGGTCACTCCTCACAGTCGTGGGGCTGACATTGGGGGTCCCTCCTCACAGTCCTATCTCATCTTTGGAGAAGCGGGCCTGCTGCCGGTTGTCTCAGGCTAAGGGCTGCACCTGTGTGGGGCAGTGTCTGCCCCAGCCGCCCTGTCTGGGGCCCAGCTCCCCACCCGTCCCTGCCTGGGCCCACCAGCCCTGCCCCGCCTCACCTGGCACACAGCCACATCACTCATCTCTGTGGCTGTGGTGAAGCGCCTGTGGGGTGCTCACCTCCCCCTCCACGGCGCAGGTCCATCAAGCGCTACTTCCTGATGGACCAGGGCGACTTCTTTGTGCACTTCATGGACCTCACCGAAGAGGAGCTCCGCAAGCCAGTGGAGGACATCGCACCCCCCCGCCTGGAGGCCCTGCTGGAGCTGGCGCTGCGCATGAGCACTGCCAACACGGACCCCTTCAAAGACGACCTCAAGGTGGGTGGCGCGGGCTGTGGGCCTGTGCCATGCTGCCGGGGGTGGGCACCGAGAAGGGTACGGGAGGCGGGCTGTGGGGAGCAGCCCTGTCTCGTGCTGGCCACAGCCGTGTAGCGGGTCGTGTGGGGCTCCTTCCTTCCCGTCAGCAAGCTGCTGCGTCTGCACGAACACGGACGCTGGTCTGAGGCGCCCCGCAGGGTCCTTGTCAGGCTTCGGTGTTGGATGAGGCTGGTGCGCAGAACGATTCTGGGAATGGCCTCCTCTTCAGGGTTTTGGGAGGGCTTCAAATGCTCATTCCTCTCTGGATGTTGGGCAAGACCCACCCGTGAACCCCCCAGCCCCTGTGTGTGTGTTTCCACAGCCCTCGTCTAGGTTTCCCAGTTTGTGGGCTGGAAACATCATATGCTTTTGTAATCCTTGTGATTTCTGTAAGGTGGGTGGTAATGTTCTGGATTTTGTTTCTGATTTTAGTAATTTTTGTCTTTTCCTAGGCAGTGTTGCTAAAAATTTGTCAATTTCATTGATCTTTTTCAAAGAACCAAATTTTGTTCTGTTGATTTTTTGCTTTATTTTTCTGTTCTGTTTTATTCATCTCTAATCAGTTATTTCCTTCTGTCGGGTAGCTTTGCGTTTAGTTTGCTCTTTTTCTAGTTTCTTAAGTTATAAAGTTAGGGTATGAATTTGAGATCTTTCTTCTTTTTTCATGGAAATGTTTATAGCTGTAAAGTTCCCTTGGAGCAGGGCTTGCAGGGCACCCCCTAAGCTTTGGTACGTTGTGTTTTCATTTCCGTTTTCTCAGTGTGGTTCCTACTTCCCTTAAGATTTCTCGGATCCATTGGTTGGTTGTGCTTGATTTACACACGTTTGTTAATTTTCTGGTTTTCCTCCTGTTACTTATTTCTAACTTCATCTTGTCAGAGAACATGCTTTGTATGACTTCAGTTTTGTAAAAATTATTGACTTGTTTTGTGGCCTCGGATGTGTGCCAGGGAACGTTCCGCATGCCGGTGAGGAGAGTGCGCGGGCTGTGCCGCGTCGCTGGGTCCTCCCTCCTTCCCGACCTCCTGTCGGTGGCTCCATCTGCTACTGAGAGTGGGCGCTGGCGTCTCTGCTGCTCTTGTGCAGTTGTATTTCTCGTTGTAACTCTGCCCATTCTTGCTTTGTATGTTTTGGGATCTGTTTTTAGGTGCCAAGAATACTTTTATAGGGTAAATTTCTAGTACTGAAATTATTGGGTCAAAGCATGTGGCCCCTGCACAACCGGACTGATCTTACTGGGGTTTAGTCTCAGGACACTGGATCACAGCAGAGCTGCTGTCTGCACACGTCTTTGTTAGCCTGGGGGCAGGAAAAATGGTTTAGATTTTTGTTTCTGTTAGGTGAGCGTTTTTGTCTATTCATTAGCTGTTTTGTTTATTTGTCTTTCATCTTTGTTCTTGTCTTTATTTTATGTCATGTCCTGTTTCGTGGACTTGGAGGAGCTCTGTCACACGCTCCGTGGCATGTGGTTGGCACGTGTGAGTTGTGAGTGATGCTGTGGGCGTGTGATGTGCCTGCCCGGCTAGGTCACCCGTCAGATGGGCTTCATCTTCAACTTGGGCCTGGGCCTTACTGTGGCAAAAGGTTTCGATCTTAGGGATTCGGGTTTATCTGTCTATGTGGTTTCTTGTCCGTGCTGTCTGCAGCAGCTGGGGCATCTATTAATAGAGAGCACTCATCTGCATTTTTCTTTCTGTGTTTTAATGGCAAGTGGCTTAGTTTTGAACTAGGGCTTATCCATAGATGTTTGGCTTTTCTTCACCCAAGCCCCCGATATCTAGAAGCAGAATTCAGAGAAACTCACCTCAGGACTGACTCGCTTTCCCATCCCCTGGGGATCAGGACTTGACTTCTGGCCTTTTCCTCTAAAAATTGGATGCTTGCTTTTATTTCCTTTTCCCCAGATTGACCTGATGCCTCACGACCTCATCACTCAGCTACTGCGCGTGCTGGCCATCGAGACCAAGCAGGAGAAGGCAATGACCCACACCGACCCCACCGAGCTCACGCTGAGCGGCCTGGAGGCCTTCTCCTTCGACTACATCGTCAAGTGGCCCCTGTCTCTCATCATCAACAGGTGAGCGGCCGGCCCCACGGAGGCATCTCCTAGGTACTCGCTCAGGCTCAGGGGAAGGTGGATGTTTTCCATGCAGAGGCGGCCTCATCCTGCCACGGCTTTGTGTGGCACTTCCAGGCCTCTCGTGCCCAGAGGGGATCCTCGGCTGTCCAGGGCCACACGGCGTGGAGCGTGTGGACGCCGTGTCGATTGCGGTGTCTAACGCCAGCAGCGGTGGTCCCTGTCTGAGAACCGTGTGCCTTTCCTCCTCAGGAAAGCTCTCACCCGCTACCAGATGCTCTTCCGGCACATGTTCTACTGCAAGCACGTGGAGCGGCAGCTCTGCAACGTCTGGGTCAGCAACAAGGCCGCCAAGCAGCACTCGCTGCACTCCGCCAAGTGGTGAGTGCCTCCGTGCCCTCACACCTACGCCGCGTGTTTGTGCTGCTTAGCCTTTTAACAAAGTGACTTGAAAATGCACGTTTATGGCTTTTAGGTCCACAATGTGTCAGTTTTCATGTCAAAGGGCAGCATGAGGCCACTGTCCACGCGACAGGGTTCCCTGGCCCTGTCCCTCAGCCCTCTCCGCAGCCTGGGCGATGGCCCAGGCATGGGGACCACCCAGGTCTGTCTGCAGGACACGGCCCCTCTTGGCTGGGAGCAAGTGGGCACGGTGTGCTGCAGCTGTTCCACCTGCCCCACAGGTGCTCTGCACGCTGGCATGTGCACCAGGTGGTGTTTGAAGGGAGGGCTGAGGACAGCCTTGTCTCAACAGTAAGGCACAAAATGAGAATCTGCCGTGTGGGGTCGCTCTAGGCTCCATGGTTGGGCTGGTTGGTGATGTCCCTGCAGGGCATAGGGGGACAAAGGTGGTGAGTCGTGTCCAGCAGGACGCCCACCTGATGCTGCCGGAGCTGGGAGCTGGTGTCCCTGGGCCTCCGTGCCAGTCGCCACACCCTGCACTGAGGACACCCGTGTCCGTGTTGTTCACATCTGTCTGAGCCACCATCGGCTCACAGGAGCAGCAGTCGCGAGAGTCCGCTGTGCTCGGAGGAGGTGCACGTGCTCTGGAGGACGCCGTTCTAGCCCACGGGATGCCCTCAAGGTTCCGGCCTGGCGTCACATTTCTGTGACTGTCGTTTGTGTCACTCAGGTTTGCTGGGGCCTTCACTCTGCGACAACGAATGCTCAACTTTGTTCAGAATATTCAGTACTACATGATGTTTGAGGTGATGGAACCAACCTGGCACATCCTTGAGAAAAACCTGAAATCTGTGAGTTTGAGCTCAATAGATCATAACATTTAAAAGACAGGGTAGGCCGGGCGTGGTGGCTCACGCCTGTAATCCTAGCACTCTGAGAGGCCAAGGCGGGCGGATTACTTGAGGTCACGAGTTCAAACCAGCCTGAGCAACAGCGAGACCCCGTCTCTACTATAAATAGAAAGAAATTAATTGGCCAACTAATATATATATAGAAAAAATTAGCCGGGCATGGTGGCACATGCCTGTAGTCCCAGCTACTTGGGAGGCTGAGGCAGGAGGATTGCTTGAGCCCAGAAGATTGAGGTTGCTGTGAGCTAGGCTGAAGCCACAGCACTCACTCTAGCCTGGGCAACAAAGCGAGACTCTGTCTCAAAAACAAAAAAGAAATAAAAGACAGGGTGTGTTTCACAGAATGGTCTTCAGAGCACCGAGTTCTGGTTCTGGTTGGGAGAGCTGCAGTGACCCCTCCCTGTAGCGCCACACCCCACAGCGGGTTTCTTCCCACACGATCAGTGTGAGAGAGGCAGAGGGAGGTTTGAAAGAGAGGAGCAGAAGAAGGGGGACCTCCTCCCATCAGCCACATTGCATGGGAATTGGCTGTCCAGACTCGTGGACGCCGTCCACTCCAGGGGGCTCTGAGCACTTAGCAGCTGGGCAGCCCCCCAGTACTGCCTAGGCCCATGGGGCCTGCGCCAGGACTTCAGTTACCACCAAATTCCAAAACTAGCAAATAGTTATATTTCCTGATTTTTTTTTTTAAAAAGAATTTGTCCAGCTAATTTCTTTCTATTTTTAGTAGAGACAGGGTCTTGCTCTTGCTGGTTTCCAACTCCTGAGCTCAAACAATCCACCCACCTCAGCCTCCCAGAGTGCTAGGATTACAGGCGTGAGCCACCATGTCCAGCCATTCCTGTTTTCTGGGAACTAAAAAGTTGGACCTTTGAGGGCAGGCTTAGTGGGGTTTTTTAGTGGTATTTTGAAGTGTTCCCCTGAATGAGAGGCCCATTACAAGGTGGAACCTTGTAAACAGAAGCATACAGAGGCAAGGCTGAGTGCCACACACAGTGTCTTTCTGAAGAAACCGCTCAGTCGCAGTCAGCTTTCTCCAGGCTCACATCGAGACTCTCGCGCACCACACGAGTTCCGGACAACTGCTGAAGGACTGCATCTGACCCACCCCGAGCTGCTGAAGCCTCCAAGCCATGTCTGTTGCGCTCATCGTTCACCAACTCATCCGGTGGCAAGGCTGCCAGGCAGGTGTGGACAGGTACAGGCAACGTGAAAGGCACAAACAGACAGGTGTGGGTCAGGATAGGCAGGTGAGCGACAGGCAGCAGTGAGGACAGGTGTGGGTAGGTATAGGCAGGTGAGGACAGGTGCAGGCAGTTGATGGCAGGTGGTCGGTACCAGGCACTGCACAGCACTGTACACTATCTCACTCGTGTTTCGTCAGCCAGTGTTACCGAAGCTCCTTTCCAGCATCTCGGGTTCTTCCTGCCTGTGTCTCTCTTGACCCACACCTGGCAGTGGGCATGCACTGGCCCACTGGTCTCAACGTCCGCACTCGGTGCATTCTGTGGTGCGGTCGTCGCATGCTTTGTGTTTCCTGGGACGGAGCTCTTGGCTCAGCTCAGCGTCTGGGCGCTTGTTCCAGGCAGTTGCCGAGACAGTGGTGGAGAAAACACGTGTTCAGTGGCGAAGGGGCAGCCTGGGGGTTACTGGGGCTCCAGGGCCGAGGTCTGAGGTGCACACTCCACAGGCGGTGCCATTGCGGGACTGGGACGAGGGCCCAGTGGAAGAGGTGGGCGGGGGGGAGCTGGAAAGTGAGTTGGTGGCTGTGGAAGGTAACCCGGGGACTCTGTCGGGACGGCTAAGGTCACTTCACCAGTAGCCTGCAGAGACATGCTTGGCGGTCCCCTAAGCTGCAGAGACAGCACCAGGTGTGCAGCGGGGAGTGTGCACCTGCAGGGACTTGGGTGTTTTCTGCAAATTGTGGTAGCTCCAACTAACGGAAGCACTTCTGTACGACCTCCTACCCTTAGAAATTCACACAGAGCATGAAGTTAGACGGCGAGCCGGGCCGGCCGACGCTGGAGCAGGGTGCACTGCTGGGGCCATCCGCAGGGGCTGAGTGGGCCGAGGAGCGGGCCCGGAAGGAGCTCACCAGGAAGGTGCATGGCTGAAGGGTGCCTCCTTGTCCTGGTCGGGTGCAGTGGTGTTAATGTTGCAGCACTTAGGAGAGGGAACCTTCCGCTGCACTTTTATTTCTGTCTCCCCTTTGATTGAAAAAAGACTTAAAAGTAGGTTCCAGTTGCAGGAACCTTCCTGCTCAACTCTGGTCCTAACTTCAGCCTAGTGGGCTGCAGGGTGGAGCCGCGGTGGTCTGTGGGATGAGTGTTGTGTAGTGAGCCTGGGGCACCCCACAGAGGAGCGAGGCCCAGTGGGGCTGGGGCCACGGCCCTGCTGTCTCCAGTGAGAGACTTTCTTGAGCTGGCGCCAGCAAGCCGCATGTCGTCTGGGCCCTGCAGGAGCCAGCTCCAGCTTGGCATGAGCCAGGGTGGGTTGAGGGCTCCTCCTGCTCCCTGAAGGGAGCTGGCAGGAGAGATGGGCCGGGAACAGGGACGTTAGAGACGGCTCGGCCCTCTTGCAGGAAGTAGCCAGGGAACACCTGACCTGTAGCGGGAAAGCTCGAGGTACACCAGGGGGCCAGGCCTGGGCCTGTCCCCCCCGCAAGGCCCAGCGGAACCTCCAGCATGCTAGTGGCAGCTGTGCCACTTGCTTGGGGTTGGGGCGTCTCTCCATGTGCCGCAGTCTCAGGAACACCTAGTGACACCAAGTTTTTACCTTGTATCACATGGAACCTGTTTCTACTATTTGAGAAAAAGGGAGGAAGCGGAAACCAGAGCTCGGGACCCGTGCCGTGGCTGGGAGGCCCGCTGTAGGCGGCAGTGCTGGCTCACGCGCTCCCCGCATTGTTTCTAGTACCTGGCCGAGCACGTGGACGCCCCCCAGCTGGCGTCCAGCTTCGAGGCCACCATCAACAAGTTTGACCAGAACTTCTCTGCGCACCTGCTCGACCTCCTGGCCCGGCTGAGCATCTACAGCACCAGCGACTGTGAGCACGGCATGGCCAGCGTCATCTCCAGGTGGGCGTCTCGGCCTTCGCCCGCCGCGGTCCAGAGCCCTGCCCTCCCGCTGCCCGTGCCGGGGGGCGGCTTCGCTGTGGTCTCTGTCGCTGGTCCTTTCCCCGGGTGGTGGGGAGGGGACCCAGCACGGCCGCCCACGGGACATTCGTGTGCTCCTGTGGCACCTTCTCCAGGAGGGACCCGCCCCACCTTCCTTCCACACAGGCTTGACTTCAACGGCTTCTACACGGAGCGCCTGGAGCGCCTGTCTGCGGAGAGGAGCCAGAAGGCCACCCCCCAAGTGCCCGTCCCACGGGGGCCCCCTGTCACAGTACCCAGGGTTGCGGTCACTGCGCAGTGAGCTGTTGGCCATGGCTCGGAGGGAGGGTGTGGTGGGACCAGCAGGTGCCACGGTGTGAGCAAGTCCAGGATTTTCCAGCCAGGTATTCCTGAACACGTATGTTCTGTGTGTGGTTTCTGTTTAAACAAAGTCCGAATTATCAACTTAGCCTGTTTCATTTTACAGAAGCTGCCCAGAGTGAATGTTGTTGATTTGTTTGGTTTTTGAAATTGGACTGTCACTGTTTTAGATGTTCTTGGCCTTAAATAAAGACAAAGTGAAAACATGTCTATTTGAGGGAAAAACGAGGTAACTCCAAAGGCACTGTGGGGTGACACTGGCCTGGTGGCCACATCCCACCCACGTGAGCTGGGGCTGGGCCCCCTGGGGTCAGTCGGACCAAGGAGAGTCTCTGAAAGCCAGCAGGGACCCCGTAGCCCCGGCCGTTGCTCTGCGCTGGGACAGCAGTTCCTCAACGGGGTGGTGGCCAGCGCCAAGCCTCTCCTACGGCTTGGTCGGGGGCAGAAGGCCACAGATGGGCCCCTGGCATCCGGGCAAGCACCAGACCTCAGTGGGACGCACCGCAGAGCAGCTGTGGCCTGGGTGGCCCTGGCCCTGCCCCCAGCTCACTGGCCCACGCTGCCCACTGGGTGCTGCCTCCTGAACCGAAGTTACTCCATGGCGGCTGGTTTTGCCACACCTGTGCCCATGGGTGGTCGCACCCTCTCCTGCCTCCAGTGGACAGCAGAGCCAGCCGTGGTGGGCTGTCCTCATGGTTCTCCTGGCCAAGCTGCCCCTGCCAAATCCCACACTTGCCATCAGAATCCAGTCGTTTTTTTGTTTTTTTTTTTTGAGACAGAGTCTCGCTTTGTTGCCTAGGCTAGAGTAAGTGCCGTGGCATCAGCCTAGCTCACAGCAACCTCAATCTCCTGGGCTCAAGCGATCTTCCTGTCTCAACCTCCTGAGTAGCTGGGACTACAGGCATGTGCCACCATGCCCAGCTTATTTTTTGTATATATATTTTTAGTTGGTCAATTAATTTCTTTCTATTTTTGGTAGAGACAGGGTCTCGCTCAGGCTGGTCTCGAACTCCTGACCTCAAGCAATTTCCGCCCCCGCCCCCCCTCGGCCTCCCAGAGTGCTAGGATTACAGGCGTGAGCCACCGCGCCCAGCCAGAATCCAGTCTTAAACACATGCTTTGGGGTCCCACGTGGACAGGTCTCCCTGCCCCGTGGCTCGCCTTGCGGGGGGAGTGCCTGGCCCTCCAGCCAGACGGCCTCCTCTCCTGTCTGCAGTGCGAGCCAGCAGGTTGGCCTGAGTTACACATTGCTCTGCAACCAAATCCCTGTGCAAACGCCACACTGGTGGGCTGGGGCACGCTGGCCTCCAGCACAGGCCCTCTGTCCTCTGCCTGACTGTCCTGACCTCCACTGCGCAGGCCCCCAGGCAGAGCCGCCAGAGGGACTGCCACCCCTCCCCTCCCCGCAGCAGGAAGGAGGCTGCCCCCACAAGCCCTGGGTTCCCAGTGACAGTCTCACCTGGAGGAGCTGGGCCAGGCCCCTGTGGGCTGTGCCAGCTTCTGGTGCCGGGACAGCCACATGCTGTGGGGCAGGGCGGAGTTTGGCTGTCTGGGGAGCGGCCATCAGGACCCCAGAGCAGGTGGCCTCCACAGCCCGGCCACCTGGGCCGTACCCTCCCATGATGTGGCTGTGCCTCGTCCCTGCCCAGCGAGGCAGGAGCCTGGCAGAGTCCCTCCCTTTGTTGCCCCTGTGCCCAGGAAGCCGCTTCTGTCCCCGCCTGGTGTTTCCTGGTCCCTGGGAAGGCAGGGGGGCCCCACCTCCTGACACCACCAGCCATCTACAAGTCAGTCTCCCCAAGGTCTGGCGGGTGCCTTCTTCCTGCCGGACCCGGGCTGCCCCTCCAGAGCTCTGGCCGGGACTGGGACAGCCCTGCCTCAGTTTCCTCACATGTACGAGGCGAGTGCAGAGTTGTAAGGAGCCGTCCCAGCTGGCCTGTTCTTCCCCTGCCTGTTAACTCAGTCCACACGTGCTGGACACGAGGAAACCGTCCAGAGTCCACAGGGGTCCAGAGGAGATGCAGGGAGACTGAGGAGGCAGGCGGGAGCGAAGCAGCGGGGCAGGCTGTGCTCCTGGCCCCAGCACACAGAAGGGGCGGGGCGGGACAGGACGGGGCGGGGCGGGGCCCATTCGCTGCAGGGAGGAACTGCCAGTGGGAGCGCCAGGGACCAGACGGTGTCCCTTGCCCAGCCCTCCACACGCCCTGCCCCGTGCTCCGCTGGCGCCCGACCATGCGCGGGCCGGGGCTCTGGCCGCTCGGTGCGCTCTGGCTGCAGGGTGAGTGGCCTGGGCCAAGCGGCTCCTGCTGGGGTTCCAGGGAGCCGCCGACCTTAGCAGGGTGTAGGGTGGCTCTCAGGAACGAGCCGGTCACCTGGCCTCCCTGCTCCCTCCACGCTAGCCCTGCTCCGGGTTGGTCCTTGGGGGAGGCGGTGGGGGGCACACAGGTGATCACTCGGGGTGGGGGGCAGGCCAAGGCCAGGCGACCAGAGGGAGTCTTCAAGGGTGAACTGGGCGTCCTGGGTGTTCTCTGAGCCTGTTGGGTGCTGAGGGCCACAGGGCTGCTCTGCCTGCCTCCCTGCTCCAGGATCTGCCTGTGGGGCCACAGGCCATCGCCCACCCCATGGATACCTCCAGCCAGACTGGGAAGGGGGGGCGGGGCAGCAGCCTGGAGGCAAGGGTGAGCACGAGGGGTGGCCTGGCCATGCGGCACCCATCTTCTGCCTGGTTGAGGACTGGGTGTGCTGCTGACCCTGGACCCCCCTTGCTGCTGGGAGCGTCCTGGGCCGGGCTGGAGGCCGTGGGTGCTTCCAGCTCTCCCTGGCGGTCGGCAAGGTAATGGCAGAGGAGAGACAGCGTAGGTGAGTGCTTCAGGGTAGGTGGTCTCTGAAGCTCTGGACCTGCCCTCTGATGTTGGAGACCAGGGAGTTTCCAGGCCTTGGAGCAGACGGCCTCGGGGAGCCCCCTGTTCCCCGGTTACCTGCAATCATGTGATTAGATGAGCTGGAAGGGTGTCAGCTCTACTCGAGGTGCAGGGCACACCTGCCCCGGACCACTGTGCATCCTCCTGGGGGGTCTGCGGGCAGCCTTGGCCCTGGAAAGGCCGATGCGGGCAGGGTGCCGGGGCCCCGTGTGGTGACTGCCAGGCCAAGCTCTACGTGGCCAACTGGTGCTGGGTCCAGTGGTCTTTGGGTACAGAACCCTCACATGGGCTGTGGGGGCCAGATTGGGGTCTTGCTGGTTCCCGAGTTGGCGGGCTGTTCCCCTAGAGGAGGGGTAGGCCAGGGAACGGGCAGAACCCGGCCCAAGGCCTTCCCGGGCAGAACCCCTGTGTGAGTGCTGCCCTGTCTCCTGCAGGCTTGGCTCTCAGCTGCGCCTTGCCCAGCGTGGACAAGTTCGAGGTGGTGCTTCCCCGGCGCCTGCCGGGACCCCGAGCCCGCCGCGCCCTGCCCTCCTCCCGCACGGTAAGTCTGAGCTGGCCTGCGGGTCCCTGGCTGACCGCTCAGAGCCTATTCCGGTGACAGGGATCGTAGCTCCCCAGTTCTGCCTTCCAGGCAGCTGTGAGGGGCTGGGTGGGGGCAGTGGGTGCTGCCCTGCGCAGCCCTGGGCTTGAGAGCAGACCCTGAGTGGCTCTGGGTCCCCTTGGGCCTATCTCTGCTTCAGGTCCCGCTAAGCTAGCGGCGGTGGCGCCCCTCCCTCCCGCCCTTCCACCTGCCTCTCCCTGCTGCAGGCAGGGGGGCTCTGGGGCCTTGCTGCCTGTGTCCCTTCAAGACCCTGGGCCCCAGGAAAGGGGCAGGGGTAGCTGGAGCTGGCCCCAGGCCACTCCCCAGGGCCGGGAAGCCAGTTCCTCTTTGAGTGGGGAACAGCTCACCGCAGGTTGACACACCTTCCTGGGCGTGTGGGTCTGGCGGGATTCCCCGGGGAGGGGGACTGAGACTGTCTCAGGGTGGGGGTGCACACGTGTGTGCTGCAGGCGCATGTGTGCCTGTGTCCAGAAAGGGGGGCTTGTCCTTTCCTGGGTGTCCAGGGCACCCCTTCCCCCACAGCCTCCAGACCCACCTCCTGCCCTGGGCTGGCATCTCCCCAGTGGGCACGGTGCGCACTGTCTGGAGGGGCTGGCAGCCTTGAGTCCCGGTGTAGGGGGCCAAGTTGCGGCAGCCTGCTGGGGGTGGGGCCTGGGGCAGGGCGGCTGGCTCGGGCTCTGCTTGGTGTCTGCTGCCCAGGCTTTAACTGCTGCCTGGCTGGGGCTGTGTCCACCCCTTGCCCCCGCTTCCTGGGGAGAGGGGCCTCCTTGTTGTTACCCTCATGTGGACAGATGGGGAAACTGAGGCCTGGAGGGCTGAGGAGCCCAATCTGCTTCTGGGCCCCCCCAGAGGATGGGCACCACTGCCCTGCCCCCCAGCTCTGTCTCCAGAGTGAGGCAGGCGGAGCCTGAGGGCGCCCCTCACCCTCACCCTTCCCTCCTGGCTCAGGGCTTGTACCCGGAGAGCGTGAGTTACGTCCTGGGGACCCAGGAGCACAACTTCACCCTGCACCTGAGGAAGAACAGGTGAGCCGGAGCTGGGGCCTTTGGCCCTCCTGCCCTGCAGAGCCTGGCAGTGCTAATCCCGCCTGGTGGTCGCCCTGCGGAGGCGCCAGACATTGTGGGGAGGGGGCTGACGGCGTGACGGTTCTTTCCCAGGGAACTTCTGGGCTCGAGATACACAGAGACCTACACGGCCACCAATGGCTCCGAGGTGACGGAGCAGCCGCCCCTGCAGGTACAGCCAGCCACTCTCCCAGGGCTGGGGGTGGGCAGGGCGGAGCCAGGGGACCCCTCTCACGCTCTTCCTGCAGGACCACTGCTTGTACCAGGGCCACGTGGAGGGGCACCCACGCTCGGCGGCCAGCCTCAGCACCTGTGCGGGCCTCAGGTACCTGTGGCACTCATGGCCCACACTTCCCGCCCTGCAGAGCAGCAGGTGGAGGCGGAGGGAGGGCCAGAGGCCAGAGGCAGACCCGGCCTCTTCTCACCTGGCGCCTGGGGCTGTGCAGAGGCATTTCCTGCCGTGGGGCCGGGGTGCTGGTCCCAGGGCAAGGGGGGCCGCGGGCGCCAGACAGGAGCCTCCTTCTTGGGTCACCCTCCGGATGGGCGGGGGACAGGCTGACTCAAAGCCCACCGTCCCCACAGGGGCTTCTTCCGGGCAGGGTCAGCCGTCCACCTGATCGAGCCCCTGGATGGGGCCGGCGAGACAGGGCGGCACGCGCTGTACCAGGCCCAGCACCTGCAGCAGCAGAAGGCCGGGACCTGTGGGGTCAGTGACGCCAGCCTGGACGACCTCCTGGGGCCCCGAGTCTCTGCAGCCTTCAGGCCTCGGCCCCGGGTGAGCGGCTTCGCCTCACATCTGGCCAGTCCCACGCTGTCCACGTGCTGGGCCTGTGCACCCCGCTGCCCTGAGCAGCCGTGTCTCCTGGAGCCACGGAGCCGCTCACTGCAGCCGGGCGGCCCAGGCCCAGGGGCTGCGCCACGGCTCCTGCCTCCCTGAGCAGGCCCTGAGGGGCGGGCTGGGCCCGGGGCCACTGGGCTGGGCAGGCTGACTGGCTTCTTGCCATTGCTCCCCAGAATGGGCCACTAGCCCGAGGGCCCCGTTTCGTGGAGCTGTACGTGGTCACAGACAGCGCAGAGGTGGGCGCCTGCAGCATGGGGCGGAGTGGGGCAGGGAAGGGCGGGGCGTGCTGGGCTATGGCCTGAGGCTCTCCTGTCCCCAGTTCCAGAAGTTGGGGAGCAGAGACGCTGTGCGCAAGCGGGTGCTGGAGGTGGTGAACCACGTGGACAAGGTGGGCCACGGGCGAGAGCGAGGCCCCTGCAGGGGCATCCAGGAGACTCTGGGAACGGGGGTGGCCGCAGGGTAGGACAAAGGGGATGGCCCGGGCCCCCACCTCATAGCGGGACAGGTGTGGCCTCCAGCACTGGCCCCACCCCCGTGCCCTCCTCGCCGCCTCTGCAGCTGTATCAGGAACTCAACTTCCGCGTGGCCCTGGTGGGCCTGGAGGTCTGGAGCCACAGAGACAAGTTCCTCGTCAGCCCCCACGCCAACATCACGCTGGAGAACTTCCTCGCCTGGCGCGCGAGGGACCTGGTGGGACGGCACCCGCACGACAACGTGCAGCTCATCACGTGAGGGGCCTCGGCAGAGCCGGGCGGGCAGGGCCGGGCGGGGGGCCGTGTCCCCCGTAGCAGCCACGGTGCTCTGGCTTCTAGGGGCGTCAACTTCGTCGGCACCACCGTGGGCCTCGCTAAGGTGTCTGCCATGTGCTCCCGAAGCTCAGGGGCTGTGAACCAGGTAGGGGAAGCCTCGGCCCAGGTGCCCAGAGCACCTGAGCAGTCCCTCCTCTGGGCGCCGGGCCGGCGTCTGCTTTTGAGAAGTGACAAGTGACATTGGCAGGAAGCTGCGACAGACCCTTGTCCCTGCTGAGGGTGAGGGTGGCAGGCGTGAGAGGGCGGCCCGGCGAGCACAGCCCCTCCCCACAGGACCACAGCCAGAGCCCCGTGGGCGTGGCCTCCACCTTGGCCCACGAGATGGGCCACAACCTGGGCATGGACCACGACGAGAACATCCCGGGCTGCCACTGCCCCGTGCCGCGTGCGGGTGGTGGCTGCATCATGGCATCCAGCATCGGGTGAGTCCAGGGTTCCGGTGGGGGAGGGCTGGTGCTGGCCCAGGGCCCTGACCGTCGCCCGCCCCTCAGCTCCGCCTTCCCCAGGATGTTCAGCCACTGCAGCCGGGCCGACCTGGAGACGTTTGTGGAGAAGCCGGGGACGGCCTGCCTGGCCAACGCCCCTGACCTCGGCCGGCTGGTGGGCGGCCCCGTGTGTGGGAACCGGTTTGTGGAGCGTGGAGAGCAGTGTGACTGCGGCCCCCCCGAGGTGCGCCAGGCGCCCCACCCCTGTGTGCCTATGTCACCTGCTCCCGCAAGCAGTGCCCGGCCTCTGTCCCCTCGGGTCAGGGCAGTCCCCACGGGCCACGCATGGTCCTCAGGACCCCACAGGCGCCAGAAGGCCCCGAGGGTGGCCAAGGGAGGCGGCTGGTCCCAGGTGCATCCTGCCCAGCCTTGGCTGTCACCCCAGGACTGCCAGAACCGCTGCTGCAACGCCACCACCTGCCAGCTGGCCGCGGGGGCCGAGTGCGCCCAGGGCGCCTGCTGTCACGAGTGCAGAGTGAGCACGGCCCCCACCCAGGACCCCCAGGAGCCCAAGGCTGGTGGGTGGGAAGGGGCCCCAGGGGCACCCATGACCAGGCAGCTTGATGGGCCTGTCCTCTCCATGAGCTGCTCTCTGCTGGGCCAGGTGAAGCCGGTCGCTGAGCCCTGCCGCCCCGCAAAGGATGAGTGCGACCTGGAGGAGTTCTGTGATGGCCGGCAGCCTGAATGCCCGGAAGACGCCTTCCGTGAGAATGGCATGCCCTGCCACGGGGGCTACTGCTACGACGGCACCTGCCCCACGCTGGCCGGGCGGTGCCAGGACTTATTTGGGCCAGGTGAGTCAGGCACGGCCCAGCCCTGGCCTGGCAGGGAGGCTGCAGGCCCTGCCCCAGCTCACCCGCTCCTGGCCGGCAGGTGCATGGGTTGCCGCGGAGACCTGCTTCTCCTACAGCATCTCGGCAGGCTGTGGGGTCAGCGTCCCTCTTAGCACGGACAGGTGAGTGTCCAAGGCCGACTCCCCTGGGCCCAGGCCCTGGGACATCCTCAGAGGTGGGGGGGAGGTGAAGGACCCCAGGCTCAAGCGTGCTGTCCTCATGGGAGGGATGGCGGTCACTGCCAGCCAGCCCCGCCTGCCCCATCCACAGGGTCAAGTGTGGCGTCCTGTTCTGCAACGGGGGGCGGCAGCGCCTGGAGGGAACCACCTGCACCTTGACCTTCTCCTCGGCCGTGTGCCGAGCTCTCACCACCGACAACAGTGCCACCTACGAGCCGGTGCCCTCGGGCACCCGTTGCGGCCCAGAGCAGGTGAGTGCCGGGAGCATAGCGCCCAGAGTGGCTGTGATCTGGGCAGGCCCCGCACGGCCCCCCACGGACACCTTCCAAGCCTGGGATCCTCTCCGGAGGCTCTGGTAGGAAACGAGGTGGATGGGGAGGTGGGCAGTGCGTCCTCATCCTGGGGACATCGTGCCTGCCACACCCCTGGGGCCTGTCCCAGCGGAGGGGCAGGGCAGGGATCCCAGCTGGCTGCCTGAGACGCCCTCCTGCCCTCCAGGTTTGCTGGGAAGGTCGCTGCCAGGACCTCCACGTTTACAGATCCAGGAACTGCTCAGCCCAGTGCCACGGCCACGGGGTACGTGTGGCCTCACGGGACAGTCCCCGCCCACTGCCCCAAGAGCGAGGCCATGGCTGCCGCTCCTCTCACAGAACAGCTGGCAGTGGCCGATCTGGACGTGGGAGCCCAAGGCTCGGACAAGCCCAGCGTGTCCACCAGTGGGGTCTTGGCACAGCCCAGCTTGGGACAGAGGCAGGCCCAGGCGACCTCGGTGGACAGCACCCGTGCTGTCACCGAGCAGCAGGGAGAGGCCACCCAGCAAGGCCCCGTGGTCGGCACATGCAGCAGGGCATGGGGGCCCTCAGCAGGGTGGGGCTGGTGCGGCCCGTGTGCTGCAGGCACGGCCTGCCCCCGGGGCCCCCAGCCTTGAACCTGGTGTCCCTCCAGGTGTGCAACCACAAGAAGGAGTGTCACTGCCACCCGGGCTGGGCCCCACCCCACTGCAAAAAGCTGCTGACGGACGTGCAGGCAGGTAGGGCTCGGACCACCCCAGGAGCTCCACGCCGCACAGCCTGGGCTCACAGGGCCCCCAGACGGGATCCACGGCACACTGTGCGAGTGGACCCCAGCAGAGCTGTGTGCCGGGACCACAGGGGGTGACATGCCCACACAAGTCCCCCAGCCCCTCGCTGCCTGGGGACCCCAGGGCCACCACCACACAGTGTCTTCCTCAGCAGTGGCCACTGGTGAGCCACCGTCCACAGCACCAGGCCTCAAGGGCCAAGTCTGGCCTGTGGCACTTTAGACCCTGGGGCCACTCACGGCCACGCCCTCTGATCTGTCCTGGAGAGCCAAGAGCGCTGGGGCAGCCCGACAGGTCCCCCACCGAGGGGTCTGCAGCCACTGGCTAGGAGTGGGCTCTGGGGCCGGTGTAGCCTTAGGGGCCCCTGGGGGCCCAGGTCGCCCCTCTCGTGCCCTCCCTGCCTCCGTGGCCTCAGGTCGTGGTCCTGCCCCTGCTGACATGGCCACGTGTCCTGCAGAGTCTGGGAGCCTCCCTGTCGGTGTGTTGGTGGCTCTGGGGCTCCTGGCAGCCGTGGCAGCCGTGGCAGTCATCCTGGCAGGCGTCATTGTCCACTGCAAGGCCCGGAGCCGTGCCCAGAGGTAAGGACACACGGGGTTATGACACGTCAGCATGTGTGGCGGCACTTCCTGTGGTCGGCTGTTGGGAAATGGCGTCTGCCGCTGTTTGAGGAAGAGACGCCAGCACTTTGTGGAGCAGGCCCATGGTGGGGGTACTCGGGCACCCAGCGGACAGCCGCTGGTGCCATCTCCCAGACCCAAGCCAGGCGGGCCTGGGCTGAGCACAGGGAGGGTCCTGGGCTCCACGTGGCCGTGGCGCTGCCCTGGGCCGTGGTGCTGCCCTGGGCCTCTGCCTGTCACCAAGGCCAGAACAAGTGCCCGTGTTGGGGCAGGTTGGGAGTGTGGTAAATCCAGAGAGGTGTGACTGGGCACCCCCAGCCGGCCCCCTGCACACTCACTGCGTCCTGCCACACCCTGAGCCCCGGTCTGTGGGGACCTCAGCCCAGGCTGGCCATAGCCAGACACAGGAGCCCAGGGGCCTCCCACCCGCTGCCTGGGCCCAGGGACACGAGATATATCTCTCTATTCAGGGACCAGACCCCATCTCCCAGGACTGCTCCTCCCCTCTGGCTGTGACTGTACACCTTGCAGCCTGCCGCCAGGCCCGCTAGCACTGGGGGACCCCAGCCAGACTCAGGGTGCAGTACTGGGAACCCCATGGCCGGGACACCCCAAGGGCACCAACTCATTCTGTGCTTCCTCCCCAGGAACGTGGCACCCAAGAGTACCGTGGGGCTCTTCAACCCCCTGTTCCACCAGGGTGATGGCAGCAAGCCAGCCAAGGGTGGGGCCCCAGCCCCCACACAGGGCCCCTCAGTGCTGGCCTCTACCACCCACCCCAGCCAGCCCCCCAGAACCCAGGTGTCTGCAGTGACCCCAAAGAGGCCACCCCCTGCTGTAAGTACATCCCGGGCAGGGTCACGGGGCAGGGAGGGGCCTTCCCAGACCTCCAGGCCCCCATCCTGGGGTGCTGCCCATGGGACCCTCGAGGCCCTTTGTGTAAATTAACTCGTGGCTGTGGGGTGGCCCTGGGGCTGAGAGCAGCTGCTGTGATCACCCCATTGGGAGGGAAACTGAGGCTTTATGATGGGCTATCCAAGGACCTGCAAAAATTATGATGGAGTTGGAGTTTGAACTTGAACTTGTGGCTTTGAGGCCAGCAAAGGTCGTTCTTGGCCTCAACAGGATCCATCTGAGGATGGTTTTGAGCTGCAGGCACCTGGGCTCTCCAGCTCTGGTTGTGCATCCACTTGACCAAGGGAAAAGATGGGGCAGGGGCTGGGGGCCGGGGCAGACCCCCAAGCAGACCCAGAGGGCTTCATTCCTTCTTCTCTGTGCAATGCAGGAACCTCGGTTGGGGGGCTGGGGCTGGGGGATGCCTGGTGAAATGGGCGGGCTCAGCTCTGAGGCTGTCCCCAATCCAGGCTCATGGCCCTGTCCCCTACAGCCTCCTGCTGCTGTGTCCAGTACACCCCTCTCAGTTCCTGTCTACACCCGGCAGGAGCCAGGGCAGGTGAGCAGGTGGGGGGCGTCCAGGCCTTGCTGGGAGGAGGTCCCGTGTCTATGGAGGGCATTGCAGGGAGGGGCAGGGACCCCAGGGTAGCAGCTGCTGCACAGAGAGCTGGTTAGCCTGGTCCTCGAGGATGTTGAACTGAAGCAGAGACTCAGGTGGCCTCGCTGGGCACAGTCCAGGGCCCTTCAGTGCCTGGGGGGCTGGTTCCTGGGGTCCTGACTCTTCCTCCTCCTGCAGCTCAGACCTGCTCCGCCCACCAAGCCCCTCCCACAGCTCAAGCCCAAGCAGGTAAGAGGCCTGGACAGCCCATCATGGCACTTCCCTTGGGTGTGGGGGCTTTGGGCGAGTGAAAGGGTCTCAGATGTGATTCACTAGGGCCCTGGCTGTACCCACTGGGCTTCACACCGCAGGCCTCAGGCCAGCCAGGCACCAGGATTTTTCTGTAGAGAGCCCAGAAAAGGCAGAGCCTGCAGGCCCTTGGGCTTGGGGATAACAGGGCCCAGGGCAAGGGCCTGGACCACTTAGGGGTGTCCTGTCAGCTGTATCCATTTATCTTCCAGATCATCAAGCCGACCTCTGCACCCCCGATGCCACCAGCCAAGCCTGGGGCTGGAGGGGCCAAGTTTGGTTTGACGCAGGTGAGGCCCACCCCCAGGCACACACAGGTGAGGCCCACCCCCAGGCACACACAGGGCAGTATCTACTGTGCCAGGGCAGCAGAGAGAGCTGAGCTGTCTTCAAATTATCAGCTGATAAACCTTGGTGATTATTTCAAAAAAAATGGGAAACATCAGTTATAGGTTTATTTAGCGTCTACTTTATGATCATCGGTCAGAGGACTTTTCAGCAGGCGCTGCTGCCACTGCCAGTCGGTTTTGCCTTTCTTTCCCCGGCTGGTGCGAGTAAGAAAGTCCATCCTTACATAAAATGAGCTATCAATAATGTGACTAGACAGCTACCACCCTGTGGGCCATGCCAACGCACTGTTGGATGAACTAAGAATCCACATTTTAAGAAATGTCCTATTGTACCCTTTACATGTCCTGGTGATTTTTAATATCCGTTCTCTTTTCCTCCTCCAAGGAGGTTGCTGGCCCAAAGGTTGCCTTGAAACCCCCTGTCCAGAGGAAGTGATGGGGCCAGAGCTCCAAGAGCACCGTGGGTAGGGGGGACATCTGTGCACCCATCTGGAACTTTGGAGAAGTCACAAGGGAAGAGCCACACTCTTCCATGTCCCAGGACCACAGCCAGAGCCTCTCCGCTCAAGACTCTGCGTTTAGACTCTCAGCCGCTGTTCTGACCTCAGGAGTGCATAGGGTTGGCCACGCTTAACCGCTACATGTCTGCAGTCACCAGGCTGGGGACCTCAGCGTGTTCAGGAGACAAGGAACGCACCCCTCCAAACTGTCTCTGCACCTGCTCCCACGCCTGCTGAGCTCCCAGCTGCCCTGGGCACCTCCCGGTTCCAGGCATGCGTATTATATGGTGCATCGCCAGGAAGACACCTCCCAGGCGGGGCCCCAGCCCAAGCTCAGGTTTCCTCTGCAGAGGGTGTCAGTGTGTGGAATGCACTTACAGCCAGACTCCAAGTCCCTTAGTTTTTTGAGCCACTTTCCCATGCGATTTAAGAAGGAAAAGGCCCACCCAGATGTGTGTGTGTGTGTGTGTGTGTGCAAGGACTCCTGCGCTTACACCTCGAAGTCACTTATTTATAGGGCCGCGGGGGCTCAGCTGTCTTGTCTGGTTCTCTTGAAACCTCAGGTGCAAACTTTCATCCCTTAATAATGAAACATTTCTGGATTTACGGTGTCCTCGCAATTCGGCCGACGGGCTGCACTCTCGCGACATCATGGTGGCGTACTGGCGACAGGCGGGACTTAGCTACATCCGATACTCCCAGGTCTGTGCAAAAGCAGTGAGAGATGCACTGAAGGCGGAATTCAAAGCAAGTGCCGAGAAGACTTCTGGCAGCAACGTAAAAATTGTGAGAGTGAAAAAGGAATGATCTACCTTGCTTGAAATGCCACATTTCCAAGGTGAAGATGTGTGGGCACATGTTATGGCAGATTGGAAACGATCTCACTTCATGGAAAAAAAATACTATCTTGTTCATAAATTGACAATGCCAATAAATTGAAGTATGGTTCACTCTTTAAAAAAATTTCTGTTTTACCAATAAATTATTGACCAGGTTCTAAACGCCGAGACTTACGAGCCAGGTGGGAAGGTGCCTGCTAAGCCACGTGAAGCCCAATGTGCGAGACTTGAAGGTCCCGCGCTTGTTCAAGCGTCTACTGCGAATAGATCGGGTCAACCTACGTCTACCTTCCTCCCTCCCCGCACTGTAGTCCTAAACCCTCCGCCTGAGGGAAACAGCCCCACTCCTCCGGCAGGGAGCAGCTTTGGGCAGACCCAGAACCCGCACCTGCAACTACACTGTAGCTACAGACCGAAAGACCCGTGCCCCGCCCCTTCCGGCCCCGTCGCCCGGAAACGGCCGCTCAACCAGCCCGCGCCCCCGCCCCTTCCGGCCCCGTCGCCCGGCAACGGCCGCTCAACCAGCCCGCGCCCCGCCTCTTCCGGCTCCGTCGCCGGGCAACGGCTCCGCAACCTGCCGCCATGCTGGACGCCGGGCTGCCGAGCCCCGCCGCCCTCCGCAGCCTCTACGCCTGGCTGGACGGGCTCCCGCTCAGCCGCCCCAAGCGCCGTCTGGCCCGGGACTTCAGCGACGGCGGTGGGGACGCGTCCGCGGGACTCGTGGGGGCGGCCGGGGGCGGGAGCGGCCGGGCCTGCGCTCTCCGTCCAGCCGGGCCGCCGTCCGGGCTGCGAGGGGCCCCGCGGCGGAGAGCGGGCGGGAGGTTAGGGTTAGGGTGCCGGAGAGCGGGCGGGAGGTTAGGGTTAGGGTGCCGGAGACTGCGCGGCAGGAGGGTGGGCCGACTCGGTTGCCTGCAGCTGCGCGTCGCACAGCCCCCTAGCCTGGGCACCCACACCCGCGGGCAGCTCCCGCCCTGTTGGTCCTTCTCCGGGCCCTCCCAGCCTCCGGGCCCTCCCAGCCTCCGGGCGCAGGGGCCCAGCATCCCTGGGGACAAGCCTGTTCCTCTCCTGCCTCCTTTTTCTGTTCTCATCCAACCCAAGAGCCATGGGGGACGGGAGTGACATAAGGAAACAAGGGAGGAATCTCAGCCGGGTAGGCCAGGCTCAGCTTGCGCCCCCATCCCTCACAGTGATGCTGGCGGAGATTGTGAAGCACTTCCACCCCCGGCTCGTGGACCTGCACAACTACACCCCTACCTGCAACACGGATCAGAAGCTCAGCAACTGGCACATTCTCAACAGGCAAGGGCTGCAGGGGGCGCAGGCAGCCCAGCCCCCCGGCCCTGGTCTCCTGCCCTTCCTGGGGGGAACTACTGGCACTCTTTGCTTTCTGCAGGCCCCTCCCTGCACGGCTGGCCAGAGCCTCTCCCACAGCTTCTCTGGGACAAGTTTCCCAGCTGTGGGTTACCTTGATACCCTCTTCAGTGCCTGTGTCCTGTCCGCCAGGAATCTTTTGGGGGATCCCTTGTGGGGATGAGCCCTGCCCCATTGGAGTCCGTCCCCCACTCCTTAGCACAGCTCTGGCACAGCAGACACAGCAGGGGATGGGTCCCTGCCTTCGTGGAGCAGTCTCAGGGTTGGAGAGCAGCAGTGAAGTGTAATTGGGTTAGGAGGGACGTGAAGATCAATGTGCCGGGATCCAGCCGACTGAGATCGGAGGTGGAGGAGTCAGAGAGGGCCCTTGAGAAGGTGGCAGTGAGCAAAGGGCCCAACTAGGGGTGCCAGGGAGGCTGCAGTAGAGTAGGCAGAGTTCTTGTGGGGGTGCTTAGGGGAAAGCCTGTGT